AATGTTGACAAGGATGTGAGAAAAAGGAACACTTGTGCACTGTTGGTGGGAATGTAAATTGGCATAGCCACTATGGAAAACACTATGAAAGTTCCTCAAAAAAACTACAACTAGAACTACTATGTGATCCCGCAATTCCACTCCAGGGTACAGATCCAAAGAAAAAGATATATGCACCTGTATGTTCATTGGAGCGATGTTTACAATAACCAAGATATGGAAGCAACCTAAGTTCCCACTGATAAATGAATGGATAAAGATGTTGTATATACATATAGACACACACACACATAATGGAACTTAACCATAAAGAATGAAATTTTGCCATCTGCAACAACATGGATGGACTTGGAGGATATTATGCTAAGGGAAATAAGTCAGACAGAAAAAGACAAACACTATATGTGGAATATCCCTGGAGAAGGAAATGGCAGCCCACTCCAGTATTCTTGCCTGAAGAATCCCAAGGATAGAGGAGGCTGGCAGGCTACAGTCCATGGGGTCGCAAGACTTAGCGACTAAACTACTACTACTATATGTGGAATTTAGAAAACAAAGCAAATTAACAAACATAGCTAAACAGAGTCACAGATGCAGAGAACAGTTGCCAGAGGGGAAGCGGGGGAGAAGAGAAATAAGTGAGGGAGATTAACAGGTAGAAACTTCAAATTACAAAAGAAGTGAGTCACAAGTACAGTGTTCAGTGTGGAGAATACAATCAATATATATAGTATCTTTGTACAGTGACAGATCATAACTAGACTTATCATGGTGATCATCTTGAAATGTATAGAAATATTGAATTATTATGTGATACATCAGGAACTAACCTTGTGTTACAGGTCAAGTTTACTTCAAAAAAAAACAAACAAACTCCTAGGAGGAGAGATCAGATTTGTGGTTACCAGAGGTGAGGCATAGAGGCAGGGGAAGTTGGATGAAGGTAGTCAAAAAGTACAAATTTCCAGTTAAAAGGTGAAAAAGTACTAGGGAGACAATGTATAACATGATTAACATAATTAGCACTTCTGCAAGTAATCCATAAAGTTGTTAGGAGAGTAAATCCTAAGAGTTCTCATGACAAGGAAAAAATGTTTTTTTTCTATTTCTTTGATTTAGTACCTATATGAGATGACGGATTTTCACTAAACATACTGTGGTCATCATTGCATGACATCTGTAAGTCAAATCATTATGCTGTATACTTTAAACTTCTACAGTGCTATATGTCAACTATATCTCAATAAAACTGGAAGAGAAAAAAATAAACAATCTTCATTTCATATGTGGGCTACCATCAAATCTTGCAAGAGTATTTAGCAGAAGCATTCCTTTTTTAGTCTTGCTCCATAAATCCTGAAAACAAGGAAAAACATTGCCTAAGATTGACACTTGGCAAAGGAATCTGATAAAACCTGTCAGTTCTGTGCCACAGCATGACATCCTTGAAGGTTCCTGGTAATCGTGTGATTATTGAGCTTTCTGCTCTATCTCAGGCTGCATGTGCAAGACATGATTTCTTATAGCTCACACACACTTGTCCACCGAGGCAGCAGCATCTCAGGGCCAGAAAAGACTCTATCTTATTAGAGTCTCAGCAAGGCAAGAAAACACACACACACCCACAGAGAGAAAAACAAGAGCCAGCTATTCCCTCTGCAAAAAATGTGCCCAAGGGTTTGTGTTTCTCTCTGCTTATGTGTATGTTTTACATTAGCTACATTTATCATATGGAAGAACTGAAACGTCAAGAAGTTAAGGAATTTCACCAATTTAACACATGAAAAGGTTGGAGCTGGGGGTTTTATTTTTTCCTTTACAATGAATTTAATGTACGAAAATAGGACTAGTACACAATCTGGCAAATGCCCCTGGTTAGGCAGAGTGTGGAATGTCTGAACAAGAGGCAGGATAAAAGTAAGGTGCTTATAAAACAGCACACTTGCAAAGAGCACAGGTCTAAAGTCAGAAGGTTCTGGGTCCTAGTTCCAGCTGACATACTAAAGAGCTGTGGGATAGAGGCAAGTCACTTCACCTTTTTGGTTTTAGTTTCCTTACTCAAAGATGGAGACTCAATAATAAAAGCATGCATCACCTACTTCCCAGAGTTACTGAGAAAGCTGTGAAAATACAAAGGCACATTCAAAAATCATATAACTCTTACATTATTATATATATGTGTGTATATATATATATATGAAAGTGAAAGTGAAGTCATTCAGTTGTGTCTGACTCTTTGCAACCCTATGGACTGTAGCCCACCAGGCTCCTCCATCCATGGAATTTTCTAAGCAAGAGTACTGAAGTGGGTTGCCATTTCCTTCTCCAGGGGATCTTTCCCACCCAGGGATCGAACCTGGGTCTCCCGCATGGCGGGCAGATGCTTTACCGTCTGAGCCACCAAGGAATCTCACACACACACTCACACTCACACTCACACACACACACACACACACACACACACACACACACACACACACACACACACACACACAGAGCATCCCAGAAATTACCTGCATGCATTCATTCTTGCTCAAATTAAATTTCTTTCCTCTTGCTAATAAAAGGATCAACTGGAATGTGAGATAATTTTGTGAATCAGGATGAACACAGCTCCTGGAGAATGTACACAGCTGTTTTGAGGACATGTGATCCACTCTGTCACAGCCAGGCATCTTTCAGTGCCGTAAACCAATGGACCCATTCCAGTTTTGCAGGGAGTCAGGCCCTAAGCCAATTACTTCAGGTTTACCAAACACTAACAAGGTGTTTAGAGTGCCCAGAACACTGAACACATCATGAACAGGCAAAAAGAGACACCAACCCATAGGACAACAGTTGTGGCAAAGTGTGAGAAATATGATGGCGACATGGGTCACATTTAAAGTGGCTCCCAGATGCTCTCTTCTACACCCTTCTGGGTAAGCTCACCCTTTTGGGTAAGCTCTTCCTGAACTTTCACCTGAGGAAAGTAGTCAACTGTCTTCAACAAATCATCACCCCTCCAGGAAATCTAAAGAAGAGACACCAGGACAAATCCCTCACTGGGCGTTACCACTCTCTCGGTGCTCCTGGTTGCCGTGGTCTGCACTGCAGACTGGAGCTCGCTCTGAAGTCGGCTGTTTCCTGCTCACTCTCCCATTTTCCACCCTTCACATTCATCTGTTCTAGGACCTGAGTAAGCCCTTCAAACTCTGTCCAGAAGGACCATCATATGGTTGAATAACTACAAGGATGATTGGAACCATTAAAGAAAATATACCTAGAAATCGCTGCCTGGACTCACCGGACTTGTCAGAAAAGACACTTCAGGGAAAATGTTCACAGAGCAGCCCACAGGACTGGGGCTGGTGACTGCCAACACACAGTACAACAGGATGCAACTTTATTGTGTACCAGAACCATCCAGAGGTTGCGGAAAACCCAAGGTTCCCGTGGCAGTTGCTGATGCTGGTTTCCAGAGACCACACTTGAAAAATCTGTCATGGTAAGTGGGCAAGGGCTACCCAGTCGGTCATCCCCATGGGGGCAACTTCAGCTCCTGATTCATCCTCCTCCATCCCCAAACTAAGCCTTAAGAAAACTCATAATAGGAATTAAACAGTCAGCCCTCCTCCTCCCTTCTCCTTGCCCAGACGTACAGCCATGCAGCCACGGATGAAAAGAACAACTGTCCACTCATTCCCTACAAGTATCTCCCGGGTTGAGTCCTGTCCTCCCCTGTGTACTACATGGTTTTGCAAAAGGAGTGGGTTATGATGCCAAATAGAGGATGTGGAGTTGCAGGAAGTGCATTCAGGTTCCCCAGGTCCCGTTCCCTGAGTGGTGCAAGTTCCTAACACTCAGTGACAGAACACGCCAGTGGAACAGTGCCAGGGAAATGCTCTGACCTGGTTCTCTCCTCACTCGTTTTTCCTGATGCTCTGCCACAATGCACTGTGATTTCCCGCTGAGAACTCACTTCATGTCACCAACAACCCAGTACAAAAAAAACCAGTGCGTGGTCCCAAGCATACTGCATCTCAAGGCAGGAGTGGGCGTGGGGTAGGGGGTGGGAGTGGTGTGGAATGGTGGCAGGGCCAATTCCCTTCAGAGCAGGATCAGAGGGGTTTTGCCCTGGAAGGGACTATTAGAAATATTTCTTTCCTTCCCAAAGTTGATTATGTTATATAATGCACTATTTCACTAACAGGGGGAGTTGCTGCTACAATAATATTGTTTTGTTTTAGGGAGTGTTAACGGAAGTTCCCACAGAGAGTCGCGTTGTGAATAAGGTAAACACTCAGTAAGAGAGCATCATACAACTCTCTTCTATGTTCAAATGTGGAAATCCGGCCAACGTTCACCATACAATCTGCTTGGCCTTTTCTGGCCCTCAGACAGGGGAGGTTTACATATATTTGGGGCTGTAACTGTGGGCCTAAAAACCACCTTCAGGCTAAATAAGGAAAAAGAATGAAGGGTGATTCATTTGCAACATTTTGGTAAATATATTTACATAGTGTGTGTGTTTGCAAATACCTGGTCTTTGCAAAGATTTTTCTGGACACAAATAAGCATATTTGGTAGAACAAATGTGACTTTGCCCCCCAAGAAAAAAAAAAACTCTGACTAGCTCTTTCACACATGCAGAAGGGCAACAGTTCCCAGGCTCTGAGAGCCTCATCTGGTGTAAACCCCATGAAGTCTTGGGAGTCAAACATTTTCCAAAGCAGTAACACTAATACAGTCTGCACTGATCCCAAATTTAGGAATTAATCTCAGATATACCATGTTCAAGACACAGACCTCAAGTCCAGAAAGCTCTATTTAGAAAATTCTGGAGCAGGAGAGCTCAGCCACTCAGAATACTGCACCATATTGGCAGCGGCCTCAAGCCCACTAATTTAAAAATCTTGCCTTCTCCCTACCCTCCCCCAAATCCACTTACTTGCATGCACAGATGAAGCCATGCAAGAGCTGCCTTCATACCCAATGCCCTTGCTGGTTCTTATCCTCACCTGTTTTCCAGGAGCGTCATGCACACCACCTCTCGCACCCCGGGGTTGTTGGCCTTCTCCACCGAACAGCCCTGCAAGTTCCAGGTGGCCAGCCTCAGCACAGGCCGCCCGTCCCTCGTGCCTCCAAAGGCCTCCACCGAGGGCCTCGTGGAGATGATCTGAGTCGGACCCCCAGGCGGCAGGTCCAGGTCTTCACTCTGCAAGCTTAGTGAGGTGGGGCTGGGGTGAGGCTTGGCGGTGAAGGTCAGACCCCCGTTGGTGTGGGTGGACGGGGGCCTGGACCTCTCGGCAAACACCTGGTGCCGTATCCTGTCCAGGAAGGCGGCATTGATCCCACCCATCCTCACCAGGTCCTCGACACTGCGGAAGGGCCCATGCTCACGGCGGTAGTCCACGATGCTGACGGCCATCTTCTCCGTGAGGCCCCGCACGCTCATGAGCTGAGCCGGGGTGGCTGTGTTGATGTTGACACGCGGGGTGAGAGGCACAGCGGTGGCGGTGGCCAGGTGGTGAGGCTGCTGCTCTGCCATCAAGTCCCTCCGCAGGGAGCTGGGGGAGTGCTGCGCAGAGCTGCCCTTGCTGCTCACGCAGATCTCAAACTTGACCTGCTCCAGCTTGGTGGCACCCACGCCACTGACAAGGGCCAGGTCCTCCACTTTCTTGAAGCCACCGATGTACTCGCGGTACTCCACAATGCTCCTTGCCACCGCGCGCGTCACCCCAGGCAGGGTCATCAGCTCCTCCTCCGTGGCGGTGTTGATGTTAAGTCTCTCCTGGTTGACCAGGATGTTGCTGAAGTTGCAGGCTGCGCTGAACTTGCGACTATGGGACAGGTCCGAGGGGTCCCGGGGGATGGAGCGGTGGCAGCCCAGGGTGCTCCCCATGGCTGGCCAGGATCAGGAGTCCAGGAAGCCTTTTGGCTAGGGAGGAAGCCCAGTAGACCTCACAGGCACAGAAGAAGGGAAGGTGCAGGATTCAGGGCATGAAATGGTTACCTAGACAAACATTAAATAACCATGCCGCAAGTGTCCAAAACTACCTTTCACTTGGCCACCTGGAAAACAAACACAAATCGATTGAATCAGTTAATCAATTTGCATTAGCACTCCCTACCTACAGCTGGGATTCTTAGCCAGGAGTCCATGGCTTGTGTCTGCCCGTGAACGTCAGAAAACACACACAAGGGGGCTGTCCCATGAGGATTTTCCTCTAGTGAAGCCCAATTTTTATCACGTTAGGGTGAAAAAACGCTATAAGCAGCTTCTCCTGGAAGTAGACCTATCCCCACCAGCCTACACCTCTCCTTGCCTCTCAACCTTCCCAGCACTGAGGCCATCTTCCCGCCTCCAGTCGCTCCCATTTAAACTCTCAGGCAAAAGGGAGTAGGCATCCCCACGCCCCCTGCTCCTGACACAGCACCACCAGCAACTTTGGAATTCCATCCTCACTAGTGCGGGCTCAGAGAAAGGGTTTATCATCCTCTACCAGATTCGGCGCCGTTCCTGGCGCCCCACCTCTCAGCTGCTCCTCCGGGGCGTCCTCCTTCCACCTGCGGCTCAGAAGCCTGAGCCCAGCCTGGGACAGCGCCGGCGCAGGTTATGATCAGTGGCTGGCCGCGGGATCCCTCCCACGCCACCTCGGGCCGCGCGTCCCAGCTGTTTCTGCTGGAGAAAACTCTTGAGTGGCTTTCCCAGAACCGGCAGGAGCTGCAGGGCTTCGCAGAGGCGGCAGCGGCGGTAAAATCCGGCAGCTGCGGCTGCACCAAGTCTTGCGGCTGCACCAGGACTGGCGGCGCTGCCGCAGTTGCGTTGATCCAAACGAAAAGTCCTTCCCCCGACTCGGACGCGGGATCCGCCAGAATCGGGTCCAGAGCCCAGCACCAAAGGCACAACCGCCGATCGCCGTCTGTGTCAAAGCCAAAGTCCCTGCCGCCAGGCCCGCGCCTCCTCCCGCACTACGGCCACACCTCCTCGCGAGCGCCAACCCCTCCCCCGGACTCCGAGGGCACGTGGGGGTGGGGCCGGAGCTCTAGGCCGGGACACCAGGGCTTCAAACCCGAAAGCGCAGGGCGGGCCCTGATGTTCAGGAGGCGGGGCCGCGGGGTGCGGGGGCGGGGCCTGGACGCGAGGTGGTGGAATGCAAGGCCCAAGAGTGTGAGAGGCGGGGCTATGCTGCGAGAGGGCTGGCCCCAGCGCGAAGAGGTGGTGATGGAACCCTGAAAGCAGAAGCGGGGCCCTGGCGGAAGGGGGCGGGCCCCGCGAGCGTGGAGGCGGGACTTAGAGGCTGAAGAGGCGGGGTCGACGCCACAGCGGCGGGTTACCCACAGGCTGTCCTGCGGTCCGCTCCCTCTGAGCTCGGGTTGCTATCGGGGACCAAAGGATGGCTGTACGGGATAGAGGATTTTTAGTCTCGCCCGAGCCGGGACTCTCCCAACAGCTTTTCGGTGGGCTGCAGCTAGGGGTGCGGCAAAGGCTACAGGGCCGTCAGCCCAAATTTAGTCCGTCTTTGGGGCGTGGGGACAGGGCGAAGACACTCCCTGTGTGGGAGGCACACCTACGGGTCGGGAGCCTAGCCTGCGTTCTGAGAACATTCGAGGACTGAATGGGAACTTTTTGTCTTCCGCCGCCCTCTTTCGTCGTCCTCTTTTCTTCCTCTTGTGTATTACCTTTACCCTGCTTACGTACAACCCTAGCAACTCTATGCTACTAGGAGAGGGCGCGCACCGCCGGTTAGAGCTGTGTTCGCGTGGGTCACTTACTGCGTTGCTCATTTGCACGTTTAGCGCTCTGAGTAAATATGGATATTTTCTGTAAGTATTAAATCTAGTTATTAAGGAGGAAGAACATGCCAGTTGGAAATGGAAGCTGGCTTCCCAAAATTCAGAAGGGTTTTTGAATCATGCCAATAAATGACACTTTAAAAATTAAAGTCGGCTGTATTACAGCGGATACATAGAGCTAGAGTATTCAATTAAACAAACCGTGAGGTGATAACCACTGGACACTTTGATCCTGAGTGTTCAGTGACCTCTGAAGTTTCATCCCCAATCAATGTGACCGGTGTTTCTGTTTTAAATCCCCCAGGCTAGGTCAGCAAAAACCAACTCTCAGGGACGGCAGAGGTACTTCAGATGTGAAATGTGAGCCAACCAAGATTTGGCAAAATGCTACCGCCTTTATGTGTATACTGGTTGGGACTCTTAATTGCAGATGACAGAAATCCAAGTCAAACTAGCTAGACAAAAAAAGGGCATTTCCTGGTTTTTGTGGGGGAAAGTGAGGGAATAGATCTTATCTATGTTCCTCTTGACTGCATGCAGCCCAAAAGTCAACAGGATCTTGTCTGACCCCCTTTATCTCCTCTACTTGTTTCCTTGCCCTAGCACTGGGCTACATTATGCCACTTCTTTCCTCCTGTAATCCTGTTGTGATAAAGAAAAAAAAAAATTTAACCGGAAATATCTTAAGAGGAGGGAGAAATCTTTGTTGATCAGAATGCCTTAATGGGCCTTTGTGGCTGTGGATGGACAGCCTAGGGGCATTGATAGTTGGGCTGGAACATTTTTATTGTTTAATCTAGAACACTTTGGAGGGTAAGAGGGAAACTATTAACTTCACTGGCACAGCAGACATAATCTGGTTTTGTTTCCTATAAACAGAAGTGTATGTTCCACCTTTTAGAAATGAAGCCAGGGACTTTCCTGGTGGTCCAGTAGCTAAGACTCTGCATTCCCAGTGCAGGGGCCCTGGGTTTGATCTCTCCTTAGGGAACTAGATCCCACATGCTGAAACTAAGAGTTCACTTGCCACAACTAAGAGTTTGCAAGCCACAATTAAAGATTCTACATGCCACAACTAAGACCTATCACAGCCACATAAATAAAAGTACTAAAAAAGAAAGAAAAGAAATGAAGCCATTAGTAGCTAAACTACTGTGCATCAAAACAAGCAAAAATCACAGCAGGATGGCTAAATTTTGAATGATTGACCATACCAAATGTTGGTGGGAATGTGGAGCAATTGACACTCGCATACATTGCTGGTGGCAGTGTGAGAAGAAGATACAACCATTTTGGAAATCAGTTTGGCAATTTCTTAAAAAGCTCAACATACATCTAGCATGAAAAGTTAAATATCAGTCTCTCATGTCTGACTCTTTGAGACCCCATGGACTATAGTCTGCTAGGCTCCTCTGCCCATGGGATTCTCCAGGCAAGAATAGTAGAGTGGGTAGCCATTTCCTTCTCCAGAGGAGAAGGATCAAGCCTAGGTCTCCTGCATTGTGGGCAGATTCTTTAGCGTCTGAACCACCAGGGAAAAACCCAACAATTCCATTCCTAAGTATTTACCAAGGAGAAATGAAAGCATAAACCCAGTCTTGCACATGAATTTTAATAGGAACTTTCTTATATAGCAAAAACCGAGAAACAATTTAAATCTACCAGTAGAGAATGGATAAACAAATTGTGGTATATCATCCATACAGTAGAATACTACTCAGTAATAAAGAAAAAACTATTAACATCCACAATATTGAAGATCTCAAAACCATACTGAAAGAAAGCCATGCCCCCTCCCAAAAAACCTAAATATTTTATGATTCCATGGAAAAATACAAACTAAACACAGAGAAAGCAGATCAGCAGTTTTTTGGGGGTAGGATTTATAGGTTAAAAAAGGACACAAGGAAACTTTGGGGGATGATAGAAATGTTTGGCGTTTCATGGTTGTATGTATTAGTATGTCGAAACTGATAAAATTGTACTCTTTAAATATGTGCAGTTTAGTGTGCTTCAGTCAGACCTCAACAAAGACTGGGAGGAAATCTTAAAAAAATCTTATAAAAATCAAATACTCTTTCAACTCAAAGGGAAAAAAGAAAGGACAGGATAATTTTAGGGAAGAGGGATATGTGACCCAGGGTGGAGAAGAGGAAGTTGAAGGGGAACAAGGGTCCAAGAAGGCGAGTCTGGAGCTAGTAGAAGAGACCCGCGAACATCCCCAAGTTAGGATCAGGGACCCAGAAGGCCAGTTGTCATGAGACAGAATACAAATGCCTTGTTTTAAGCTTATAAATACTGAAGTGGTTGCCTCACAGCAAAGTATATCATATAGATGTGATCCTCAGGTCTTGTTTCTCCAGCAAGAAAAGCCAGTGTCATGGCTCCACATGTTGTCCCCTTTACAACTCATTGACCTTTGTCCCATTCTTAGGAAAGTTTCACCAGGCTTTGATTTCCTCCAAGAAAAGTGGTTTTTATTTTTATTCAATTGGGTCATGAGAAAATTTTGGCAAGGGCCTATCTCTTGCCCAGTGGTTAATGAGTGTCTTGTGACAGCTGTAGCAATAAAGCAGGGTAGTTTTTTAAATGTTTCATATATATATATAGGCTGTACTGGGTCTTGGTTGCTTCGTGGGATTTTCTCTAGTTGTGGACAGCAGGGGTTACTCTCTAGTTGTGGTGCTCGGGCTTCTCGTTGTGGTGGCTTCTTTTGTGGAGCATGGGTTCTACAGTACATGGACTTCAGTAGTTGCAGCTCCCAGGCTCAAGAGCACAGCCTCAATAGTTGTGGTGCACAGGTTTAGTTGCTCTGCAGCATGTGTGATCTTCCTGGATCAGGGATCTAACCCATGTCTCCTGTGTTTACCCAGGGAAGCCCCCAAAATAAGCTTTTTTATTGCATTTATTTCTACTAAGCTGTTTCCCCTCCTCCACAAACACAGAAGACAGGATGGAGAAGAGCAGGGAAGAGGAGAAATGCCCAGGGTAACAGTCTAGCCTCAGAAGTTCAACCAGGCTCAGGGCACGGGCTGGCCTGGGGCTCCAGCCAGGGTCCTCTCCTCATCTCCTTAGTGCCCCATGGCAGTCCTTTGAACTGCCAATTATCTTGGATACTATGCTTTTGAAGGCTGTAGAGATGGTGGATATCTCCTTATCTGAACTCCTGAGTGAAGACCGGACAGATTGCACATCTGCATCCTCTACCACACAAAGTCCTGTCCAGGAGGGGCCCTGTACCCACAGCAGCTCAGCTCCCACCACAAATGTTTTCTTCTAGCATCTGATCTCCTGAACCACCTCTTTGAGCTCCATGGATCTTGTGATCATCATGCTCTGTGTAAAGTGCAGGGAGCCTACTTGACCTCCCGATGTGCTTTCTGGTTTATATTACTGCCTGGACTACTTGAGGTTTCCTCTTGGCTCGGCTTTCAACTTCAAGCTGGTTCTTTCTGATTGACCTGAAACACAGGTGCAGATGAAGGTAAAGGGCTTTTACCTTCCCATTGGCCCCTGGCTGCTGCTGGGGGAGAGGCTGGGGCCACCTTGTCAGGCAAACTCTGGTGGTCAGACCCTGTCTAAGCTGCCCAGTGTGGATGGAGTTTTCTTTGGAGGATACCCTCTGGGGAGTTTGGTTCCATCTGGGGGTTCCACCAGTGCTGCTGGTGATGTGTGAGTGCAGGGGGAGACCACAGAGCCACACCAAGGGTGGTACTGGGGTGGTCTTCTCCAGCCAGGTAGGGGCTTGGCAGCACTTTGGCTGCTGCTGGGCTTCCATCGTAACTATTGATCCCTGCTGTCAGGCCACTGATGTTCATGCGCTGCTGCTCTGACTGTTCTCAGAGTAGGAATGAAGCTCTGCTGCTTTGGGTGAGCTATACTTTGCAGGATAGATAAGGAGGGCAGCTGTTGGTTAGACTGGTCAAAGGAGCCAGTTTCAGGGTAATGATACAGCCCTCCAGCTCAGGTATCTTGTTGGCTAGGAGCACATAGATGACCATCACTTCAGTTCATCATACTTCTGGCCCATTTACAAGTCATGGATCCCTTCCCATGTGTAGCCCATGGACACCATCAGCTCAGTCTACCTGGGATCCCTGTAGTCAGGTAATGGCTCTATGTAAGGTATTGGTCCCTCCCATGGCCCATGTTGATCCATGAATCCTTTATGATTTCTTCTCAAGAGCCTCCCTTGATGAGGTTGAGGATGATGGATTTTTTGAGCAGTTTTTCATACTCCATGGACATGTTGAAGGGAATATTATGTATTCTGCTCAGTGCCCACCCCCATAATAAAGAAAAAGGTGAGAAAAAATAAAGAAAAATGAGGGAAATTGAAAAGAAGAAAAACATGAGAAAAAAAATGAAAAATAAAAAGTAAAACACAATAAAGACAAAATAAAAGTGGGATGAAAAATTTTAAATTAGAAAAATTAAAAG